ACAAAAAAAAAAAAGTCTTGATTACTTTGACACATACTCACCGGTTATTATAATAGCATCTATTAGAATGCTAATTGCCATTGCATCTTTGAATAATCTAGAAATTCATCAAATGGATGTGAAAACAGCTTTTCTAAATGGTGAGTAGAAATTTACATGGAATAACCAGAAGAATTTTCTGTTGCATGAAAAGAAAAAAAAAAGTATGTAAATTGGTTAAATCATTATATGGTTTAAAACAAGCGCCAAAGCAATGGCATGAAAAATTTGAGAAGGAAATGATGTCAAATGAATTTAAAATTAATGAATGTGACAAATGTGTTTATATTAAAAACACAAATAAATGTTATGTTATAGTATGCCTTTATATAGATGATATGCTCATCATAGGTAGAAATAATGACATGATTAAAACTACCAAGAAAATGTTGAATAAACATTTTGACATGAAGGATATGGGGATTGCTGATGTAACACTTGGTATGAAAATTACCAAAACATCAGAAAGTTATGCTTTGTCACAATCTTATTACATTGAGAAAATACTTGACAAATTTAGCAAAGATGATGATCATCTTACTAGAACATCCGTGGATGTTAATTTGTTTCTTTTTAAGAATGTACAAGAAAGTATTTCTCAATTAAAATATGCCTAAATTATTGGAAGCTTAATATACTTGATGAACTACACTCGCTCGAATATAGCTTATGTAGTAAGTAAATTACGTAGATATACGAGTAATCCAAGAGTAGAACACTAGAAAGCAATTATAAGGGTTCTAAGATATCTCCGATTTACTCGTAACATTAGGCTGAATTATACTAGATATCTAGTAGTACTTGAAGGATACTGTGATGTAAACTACATATCGGATACTAGAGACTCAAAATCCATCAGTGGGTATGTCTTTACTCTTGGTGGGGTGGCTGTATCTTGGAAATATTTCAAATAGACTTGCATTGCTAGGTTTACTATGGAATCAGAATTTATAACCTTAGATAAAGCTGGGAAAAAAGCAGAATGGCTTCGTCAAATCTTTCAAATAGACTTGAAGATATACCAATGGGGCCGAAACCGATGTCTTTCGTATGCATACATTATGATAGTCAATCAGTAACAGGTAGAGCATAGAGTCATATGTATAACGGTAAGTCGCGACATATTTGTCGTCGACATGACACCGTGAGACAACTACTCTCTAATGGAATTATTTCCATTGAATACATGAAATCTAAAGACAACATAGCGGATCTACTAACCAAAGGTTTAGCAAGAGAGTTAGTTGAGAATTCATCAAGGAGAATGAGACTTAAGCCTATTAAATAAAGAGTTGCCACAACGGCAATCCAACTTAGTTGATTGGAGATCCCAAAATCTAGGTTCAAAGGGATAACCGAGTTGTGTATGACTCATAAGGATCACTAGAGAGTTAAACTCCTGCCCATTTTTATGATAAAATAGTGATGTCTGCAACGTTTTAAGTTAAGTAACACTTTTAATAATTTTTATATCTGGGAATACCTAGTGAAGTATGGCATGATATTCTTCATAAGAATCACTTATGTGAGTGTGAACTGGGCCGGTTCTATGAGATTTGTAAAGAGCTACGATTCTTTAGAGCACTCATGAAAGACCAGGTTGTTCAAAGTAAAAATGAACACAATAGTGAGAACTAAACTGGTCTGGTAATATACTGTATGAGTTCTATTGTCTTAGTTTACATAAACGACTAAACAGTTCAAGACATCATGTTCACTGGTTAGTTAGTAAATCCAATAGTGTCTCACAAGGGAAGGTTCAAAGCCAAAAGCTACATATCCTTCGTAAAATATTTTTGATTTCTGTACTCTCTGTAATTAGATCATGTTGTTGTATTTTCTCTTCATCAAATTTCATTCATGTGGGGAATTGTTGGAATTATGGCATTTTATAGGCTTATTTTGGGCCAAATTTGAGTGGTCTCACATATCTTTTGAGGTGGGTCCAAAGAGATGACGTGTTCCTTGTTGCATGGCAAGTCACACGGTGTAAATGGTTCGTCAAAACCATTTATGAGTGAATAGAAAGTTGACGTCGTTTTCATATTCGTGGAATAGACAATTAAAAAAGTAAAATGTGAGTTTCCTTGAAATGGATTGTCCTAGATTGAAACTTGAAGAGAACTTATATGTATTTATAAGCTCTAGGTGGACAAACTTTGGTTGGGCCCTAAGAGGCACCCTAAGTTTATAGAAGGGATAAGTTATGGACAAAGTGAGCCTTGGCTCAAACCACCACACACGCGCGCGCGTGCCGCCGCTGCCGTCTAGCCGGCCGGCCGAGCTGAGCCGTGCCAAGCGCAGGTGTGGGTTGTGGGTCGGATCGATCCTAATATTAATTTTTTGAACAAAATTTATTTGAATTTTTTCCAAAATTCTTGTGGGAAAATTATTTGAATTTCTAAACGAAATTAATTCTAATTTTATGTCCAAAATTGTGCCTCTTCCGGTTCAAAATTTCCTTCCACATCTTCCAGCAAATCAAACAAATTTTAAAAATCTGCATCGCACCTGTTTAGTTTAAATTATGTATATATTCAATTTGAATTAAACCTGTTCGGTTTTTATTTGAGACCTATTCGGACTACCCGAACAAACACCACTTGCCTATAAATACTAGATCATTCCAGCAGATTTCTACATCCAAAATTTTCTTGTTTCCTTCCATTTTGCTCTCTTGTATACATATATTCTTCATACTAGTTTTTAAGAGAAAATTCTGAGAGTATAGAACACAGGTTCTAGTTCACCGTACAGATTGTTTGGAGTGCTACTACAATCTGTGTAGATCATTATGTCTTAGGAGATTGACGCCATTTATCCGTAAGCACCAGAATGGAGCGAATCTTAAGGACAGAGTGTCACACACTCGACTTGATTGTTTTTATTGTTAAGTTGTTTCGGTAAATAAATTCTGTAAGTAATTTATTTTTGTTTGTTTGATTTGTTCAATTTATTTAGTTTACACACAAAATTTCCAACAATTAATGCATTTACATTTAACTAGATAGGTATAAATTTTTATCAAAAATACTAGAGACTTCAAAAGTTCTACCAAATGTCTCACATTAGTATAGGACCCACATGAGACCCACATTGTATGAGTCTTACACTCATGTGAAACATTTGGTAGAAACTTTGGGTTCTAGCATTATTCAACTTTTATAATTGCATCACTATTATGTGAAGTAAATATTAATAGTGTACAGGTGTAGTAGGTAGTGGATGGGTGTATTTAGAGAAAAAAAAAATCTTAATTATTATCCTAAATAATTATGAATCTTGTTAGCAACTGCTTATTGAACGTTTGTTAACAATTAAGAAATACTAAAAAAAATTTTAAAAAAAATATGTATTTCATATATTTTTATACATTTTAAAATATATATATATTAGTACATATTTTAATTTTATACATATTTTAACATTATCACCTCTCACTGGATGGCGGTCAACATTTCTTAATAGAGAAATGTTATAGTGTGGGTGTATACAAGGTTTTAAAAACCTGGACCGGACGGCCGGTTTACCGGTTTAACCGGTGATCGGATGGGGTTGGTCCAGTTAGTCCTCTTAAACCGGCCAATTGCAAAAATCGGCTATTTATTGAAAACCGGTGAACCCACTGGTTAAATCGATGAACGGTTGACCCGGTCACGGGTTGATCGAACCAGTCCGGTACTCTTTTTTTTTTTTTCAGTTTTTTTTTTTTTTTCTTTCTTTCTTTATATTATATATAAAATATAAGAATATAAGAAAATTTTAATTTGAAACTCTTTTTTAAGGGTCTCCTCTTGTGAGGAATCCCATTAAGAGTTTTGATGAAATTATTGTGAAAGTCTTTACCTATTTATAAGAAAAAAATTCTTTCAAAAAAACTCAAGAAATCCATGTGGGATTCAATCAAATGTATTAGAGGGAATATTGAAATTTTGATATCCCTCCAAAATTTTTGCTCTCCTTTCAATCAAATTATTTGAATTAAAATCATATGGAGGGAATATTAAATATTTGATTTCATCTTCCAAATTCCAAAATTGAAATTAATAATATTTCAAAATATATTATTATATTTTTCAGTGAAAAAAATATTAAGACAAATATTAAAGATAATTTAATATTTTTAATATTTTTAATTTATAATTTTATTACTTATATTTTTATTTAAATATAATTTTAATATATTTATTACGTCACGGTTCAATTCCGGTTCAACCCGACGGTTGAACCGGTGACCCGTCCACCCGATCCATTTTCCGGTTCATTCACCGGTCCGATTTTTAAAACATTGGGTTTATATTATATGTATCCTATTATAAAATTTTAATTTTATTATAAAATTTTGTAATATTAATTATAAAATGTCTAATCTCATCGCAAATTGATATAACAAAAAATATCATAATTAAGTCATAAATTTTTGCAACATCAATCACAAAATTATGGACATTATTTTACACTAATTTATGCTGAAGTTATGTATTATGTGATTGATGTTACAAAATTTAATGATAAAATTATACATTTTTTGTGATAGAATGTACATTGTAGGTGGTGGAGTTTCATGGTGGTGATTACTGGTTATGGAGTTGAGAATTTGGTAGTTGACATAGCGGAGTAAAGAGAGGAGTTGGTGCTGTCGGTTGTGGTTTGAGAATGGTGTGGTGGTGGGTAATGGTGGTTCTAGGAAGCTGGGAGAGTTTAGCGGTGGCGGCATAGAAGGAGGAGGCGGAGGGGGAGGGCTGGCCATCGGCGAGTGGTGGCAGCCAGAGCTGCAGAAAGAAGGGAAGATTAAGAAGAGAGAAGGGTATTTTAGTCTTATTGACCCGTCTTACCATGCTTTTGTAATTTTATTTTTTCCTTTAATTTGTACTGCTATTTTGAAAATAGCCCACTGGTCTGGTTTGCCAATTATAAAATTTATTTATTAATTTAAATAGTAGCATTTGATTATTATTATTATTATTTCCAAAGTCATCATAAATTTTAGTTAACAAGTTATTACCGGTTCCACACTCCAATTGGCAACATTCCAGCATCTCTCTCTCTCTCTCTCTCTGGACTCTGCGAATCTGGTATCTGTATCTCCTTCCCCATCATCAGGTAATTAGCCCTTTTTACTTTCTGTCGCAATTCAATCAAACATTGTAGACATCTTCTTCTTCTTCGTCTTGTTCACCTTCATTATTGTTTTGGGTTTTTATTGCAATACCCATTTGGTTTACTTTGTTTTTAACCCCAGATCTGTGCTTAATCTTTTCATGTGTGTGTTATTCTTGGGTATTATAGAATAATTTCATTAATTTCATATTATCTGATTTTCTGTTTTTCTTGTTGTTGGTATTATGTTAACTGTGTTCAGTATTTCACAATGACTCCAACCACATTGATTTATTCCCATTTGCTGGTTATTTTAACTGCTGATTTGATATCAGGTTAAATTATACTAACCTCCCTTGAGATGTAGAGAAAATAGAGTAATTCTTCCAATTTTAGCATAATTACATTGGACTTAACCAAATAATGCTAAGTTATAAATTTGAATGCACTTTTAATTTTATGTACACTTTTTATACATATATTAACATTAACCACCCAATGAGTAATGGTTAGCATTTTTCAATAATATTTGTGCTCAACAGTAAATATGTAATAAAAATTTAAAAAATTATATGAACCTAGTGACAACAAATGTGGGCCAACAGCAATTCCCCCAAAAATCATTCTAAGAGTAAATATTATACAAACAAATCATTTTTACAATTTTTTTTTTTTACTAATTGAACTAACATCTATCATATTATTGTAATATCTCCCATTTTAAATTCTAAAATTTTATTATTGTATCTCATGTTATAACATTATTATTCCAAATCATCATAAATTAGTTAACAAAGTTATTACTGGATCCACTGTCCCAATCGGTCTCATATTTGTGTCTCCTTCTGATTAGGTAATTATCCCCTTCTACATTCTGTCGCAATTCAATCGATCATTGTCATCATCATCTTCTTCTTTACAATCATTTCTCTTAGTCCCTTTTACTTTGTTTTTAACCCCAGATTTGTGCTTATGCTTTTCATGTATGTGTTATTCTTGCATATAATTATAGAACATTTTATGTTATCTAATTTTCAATTTTTCTTGCTATTGGTGTTAACTGTGTTCAGTTTTTTGCTATAACTCAAACCACATTGATTCATTCCCATTTGCTTGTAATTTTGACTGCAGATTTGTTTTTGCATTAGTGATTGGCAATTGGGTATGCTGATATATTATTCGTCGCTGCAACTGAGTATTGGACTAGTGTGATTGGAAGATTTGATGAATTAAACAGATGGCTACATTACTGTCCTTGTAGATATCATAATTGGGTTGCTTGGACTTTGGGTGGTTTTGGAATTATATTCAGTGAAATTAGTGTAAGATAATTGGGAGGAAAAGTATGGGCCGTGCTTCGCCACTACTTTTGGTTTTATTGTCATTAGGGTTTTTTGGGAGGAAAAGTATGGGCCGTGCTTCGCCACTACTTTTGGTTTTATTGTCATTAGGGTTTTTCTTTGCAACATATAATATGATAACTATAGTAATGCATCACAAAGACACCATTTCGGGAAGATGGGTAGGAAATGGTTTAGACTGGTTTGATCCTACTATTAGAATGCATGAGCAGGTGAAGAGAATGGAGAATTCAAATGTACCATTCCATGTTGCCCTTACAGCCACAGATGCACCTTATAGCAAATGGCAGTGCCGGATCATGTATTATTGGTACAAGAAGGTTAAAGCCATGCCCGGTTCTGCTTTGGGAGGATTCACTAGGGTTTTGCATTCAGGAAATCCAGACAATTTGATGGAGGAGATTCCAACTTTTGTGGTTGACCCTCTTCCAGACGGGCTGGATCGGGTAAGAATCTTTTTCTTGTCAGTACTTAGGACTTGCTGTTTTACATTCTCTAGTTTTTTTAGTAACTGTTATTACTTTTTTTGACATGTGGTTTGAATTTTATAATTTCAAAATGAAATGAGCCCGATTTTAAATGCTTCCAGTGAGTTTTTGTTTATATGGAGATGATTTTATTGCTTTCTAATGGTCTTATATGGTGTTTTTGGTTAACTGAAATAGTAGGTTGTGGTACCTAGAATCTCAAACTAATTTAGATTGGGCCTTTTCCTGTGTTCTCTTTTTCCTTATCCACAACCTCATGACTAAAAATGTTTCTTTGGGATATAGTTTTTATTGAAAGTCAAAAGCACTTTTAATAACTCTGTAATTTAAAGATTTTAAGGAATACCAATTGAATTCTAGACTGAAATTTGTTAGATCTCACACTTCTTGAAATGATTAGCAATAAAAAGATCTCTACTTCTTTCACTCAAATGGGTGTCCAACCAAATGGAATAACACATACAATTTTATAAATTCTGTCCATCCAGCAAAGAATATTTGATTTGCGGATCCATAATGGGGGGTAAGGTTGTATATCCAGACCCTACTTTAGTGGGAGTTTTGTGCTCTGGGTTTATCCATAATGTGAGATCATCCAGCATCACATTTGAATTACTTTATATATATATATATATTTACAAATAGCACTATAATGCTGTTAAAATTAAATCTATACTGTCCAGAAAGAAAATAAATTATGGTTCTGATTATCAATCCAAGACAAGGGTGGAGGATTAGAAGAATGTTTAGTAGGAAGCTACGATGGTAGTTTTTTTCTTACAGAAACCAAAATAGGGTATTTTTAAAAAAATTCATATTAGAAGTGGTGATAATAAATCCTTGTAGTATTTATTAGGTTACTGTATATTCTGTCCTAAGATGGATTGGATATGCAAAAGAGGGCGTGAACGTATATCATATGGAAAAGTTCTTTTTTTTTCTTCTAAAGTTACAAATGAAAAAGAAAAGAGGTTTACACTGCATTTACATGTTGTATCCAGGGTTACATTGTCTTAAATAGACCATGGGCTTTTGTGCAATGGCTGGAAAAGGCAACAATAGAGGAAGAGTGAGTCTTATTTTTGATAATTTCGATTTATTTTCATTCTTTCTTTGTAAAATCTGAAACTAAACTTATTTATGACTGATGCAGATACATTCTGATGGCAGAACCTGATCACGTATTTGTAAATCCTTTACCAAACTTGGCATATGGAGACCAACCAGTTGCATTCCCATTTTTCTACATAAAACCAGCTGAGAATGAGAAAATTGTAAGAAAATATTATCCCAAAGAAAAGGGACTGGTTACTGAAATTGATCCAATCGGTAATTCTCCAGTAATTATCAAGAAGGTAGAGTAGCTTATTGTAATGTTGCTTTAACTATTAATTTGGTCTGATTCTAATGATTTTCTTCACATGAGAAGCTCCTAAGGAATTTTAAATGCTCCTCATGTAAGAAAGAATGCAAAATCTGCTGATTTTTGTTGTGATTAAATCATTAAAAAGTAATATTAGTGATAATTGTCAAGGCTGACATTTCTTCTTCTCCTTTTTTTCCCCTCCAGTAACGCTCCGTTTGTTTGGGAATGTTTTCTGCATTTTCTGACATTTGGTACTACATAAACAAAAGTAGACAGAAATGTTTTCCATGATCAAAGGAAAACAAGTCTATTTGGGCAGCAAATGTTCTCCACTTTTAACATATGAAAAATGTTTTCCGGACTAAAGTCTTACAAATGCCACTGCCACTAATATAACCATTAGTACATTAGTTTCAAGGACACAACCAAAATCGGAAAAAGTTTTCTTCAGAAAATATTTTCTGAAAAAAGTTTTATGTAGAAAATGTTTTCCATCAAAACAAAAGGAGCATAAATGACATTGCCTTAATAGTGTGGTCTTATCCAATGTAATTACTGCAGTCTATTCTGGAAAATATTGCACCCACATGGATGAATATTTCATTGAGGATGAAAGATGACCTAGAGACTGATAAAGCTTTTGGATGGGTACTCGAAATGTGAGTCGTATTTTAGAAAGTTTTATAGCAGTCATATTCTGTTCAGCGGATAGTAATACATTCCAACTTGCTGAATGCTGATATAGCTTTTGACATTTCTGCCATTTCTTTGTTGACTAAGGTATGCATATGCTGTAGCATCTGCATTACATGGTGTAAGGCATACTCTTCGTAAAGACTTCATGATACAGGTTTGCATGATAGTTATTGTAGTTTTTTGTATTCTCCACATCCTCAAGTTAAGCGTTGATCATTCACCTGCATGTGTGCAACTTTCTCAGCCACCGTGGGATTTGGCAGTTGGAAAGAACTTCATCATCCATTACACCTATGGATGTGATTACAATATGAAGGTAGTAAGATGGTTTTTTTTCCTGTGCTGCTGTTACTATTTTGTTGTTAAATCATTGAGTATGTAGTAATTTGTACATTGCTTGTTTTGGTTTTCATTGGTTAGAGTGTTGTAGTTCCTGGTACTATGTTGATTAAGACATCCTTGCTAAGTCAGTTAATTCTAGTCGGCAATAATTCAGGGCCAACTGACATATGGAAAAATTGGGGAATGGCGTTTTGACAAGAGATCATACCTTCGTGGTCCTCCACCAAGGAACCTCCCATTACCGCCTCCAGGAGTTCCTGAAAGTGTGGTATGTGTGATTTATTTTATTAATTATTGACCCATTTTGGGGCTATGAAGATTGAGTATCATAATTGATATGATGGTGCATTCAGTGGAACCCGAATCTGATCCTTACAAAAATTTCCTGCATAAAGGAAAATGGAAATTGACTTTCTTATATTTGCATGCTCCTATGCATTTAATCAACACAATTTACAATTTAGAGGCTACCTTGATAATTGTTTGACCTAGGCCAGTTTCCCTAACAACCCCAGAATATTTTCAAGTTTTTTTATTAATGCATGCATGCGAGTAGTTCGAAAGCCCAAGCTAAATTACTTTTGTATAGGGTGATCTAATTTATCATCTAGTTGGTTTTAAACTTTTTTTTAATCATATTTTATTTTGTATTTGTTATTCTCTAGCTAGTTTGCTTGTAAGACCATCATGTCTATCAAGGAACAAATAATCAAATATTTAAAGTTCTATTCCTCGTGGTAGAAATTGTTGTTTGGAATCAATTACAAACTATCTGCCCAGTCACATTTGGCTCATTGATGCTATTCATCTGCATCCGCCTTGATTAATTGTTTACATGACAATGACATTTTTGACAGTCAAAGGACTATGTTTCCGTGACTGATGGTGCCAAGGATATTGGATAAGATTTAACTGGCAACTTTATCTTCTAAAATAATGAGAGAATTTTTTTTTTTTTTTGTTAAATGTGGTTTGCGGTGGCTGCTTTGGAGCTTGATATGAATTGAGAAGTGTGTACAAGATTGTTAATTCAAACATTGCTAATCCAGTAAAGCTTTAGGTCTATTCATCAGTTCTGTATTACTTGATTTCAAATGTTTCGGTGTGTTTGCTGTAGTAAATGATTAAATGCATGATTATATTCAAGAAGAACACCTATGCCTCTGATAAACATTTTTCATGTCTAAAAAATATAGATCATTGATTTAATCACATAATGTTCTCTCTCTCATAGTTTCTCATTCTCGGGTTATCATATTTACAGGCAAGACTTGTAAAGATGGTGAATGAAGCCACTGCTAACATTCCTGGATGGGACAAATTGTAACAATCCCTTGGAGCAATTTTTTTGGAAAATTTTTGATATTCATTGTACAAGACTGAGGACACTTGAATAGAAAATTCCCGACATCAACAGCCTTTTTTGATACATAGATACAAACATAGGTAACGAAAGAGGAAGAAGAACATCTTGATGGATCAAATGAGAGAATCTCTTCTTCAGCAGTTCTGAAAGTCAACCAAAAAAGATGATTATTATGTACAGATCTTGATTTAGTTTATAGTTTAATTTCATTGCTTGTACAGATGTTTTGCATGACTAATTATGATCAAAGCAAGATCAATGGGTGGTCATTATAATGTATTTGCTGGTGTTAGAGAAATAAACTCGAGGAGTGTTACCCCTTGTGGCAACAATGGCCCTTACTCTTAAGCTTATCTTTCTGGCAATGCCTACTTTCTCGATGAAGTCCAGAGCTTCCATTTGGTTACAAAAATACTCAAAGCGTAGTTATTGTGAAGAAAAAAAATGGGGTTTCTCATCTGCTGCTTTCTTGTTTCAACACTGAGATAAATGCTCACTTTGAGTTTTTAGAATTGCTGCAACTTTTTGAATGACACCCTTTTTGTTCTTGACATAATACAGCTAATCATGATCAAAATTTCATTTTGGCCTTGTCTGGTATAGTTTATTGAAGTTGTTTTTAATTTTTCATTTTGAAAATCTATATTAATATGTTTGGTGTAATTTTTATTTATAGATTATGAGACAAAAATAAAAATGGGAAGAGCAGCGTTTTAGTTATTAACTTCTTTTTTTTTGTACTTCTCAACTTGGATTAATTACACCAAAATCTCTTCAATTATTAACGAGTATCACTCTGATTTTATTATCTATAAATTTGTATATATTGACCTCTTTATTATAAAAATTATATGAATACACTATTTTTTAAGGTGATTTGAAAGGAGAAAAGTACACATCTTTATAGTAGTTTTTTTTAAAAAAAAAAATAAAAAAAAAAATAGAATGCATGTTTAGAATTGAAGGAGTTAAAATATATGAATTCATAAATGAACCTTTCAGTGTTCCGTACAAACATTTACTCATATCAATTTGGTCCTAAAAACATTTTGGATAGATTTTGCTTGTTGCGAGAATGTTCAAGCCAATGATTATGGCCGCATTACAAGCTTTCGACGTCAAGATTTGCAAAACGACAATCTCAAAACACCAAAAAAATTGTTAAAAAACGTAAGAAACGTTCGAGGTAATAAATAATAAATCATTATGTTTCAGTTCGATTCAAAAACACCCTAAATAACAATGATAGTAGTATTTTACTACATAAAACAAATCTATATTACATATGTTTCAGAATTAAAGTATTTCCTTCTGAGTAGTTTATGCAATTTAACACACTCACCACTATTATTCATAAAAAAAAGAAAAACACAATGGCTACACAAACTGTGGCATGAGTAAATGGAGGGAAAAGAAACAAAGACGGGAAAGGAGAGGGAAAAAGATCCTTCTCGAAACAGCCAAGTTCTCAATTACAAAAAATTAAGAAAAACTATAAATGAAAAACGAAAAAAGAGAATATGGGTGCATGTTATCACAAGCACAACTATATGCAAAAGGATGTACAAATGGCAAGTAGTCAGCCACTCAACTGGCTTGAGAAGTATCGTGTCTTCAATCAGTTCCATGGAGGAGATGATGCTGAGAGCGCCGTTCAAAATCTTGAGGTGCCGTCCCATAGTTTAAATCAAGGTTGTGAAGTTGTTCCATCAGCTGAGAGCGCCGTTCCTTGAAGAAGTCGAGACGTGTTGTTAATTCTACCAAAGTGGACGATGCTGCAGAAGGATGTCTAGGATAATCTATCACCTGCAACCATTGCAACAAATTCAGGATTTAGGGGTTTACTTGGAAAATGAGTGCAAGTCAAATAACTACTTATCGCATCAAAAAAAAGGGGAAAACAAAAATAGAAGATGAAAAACTCTGAAGAAAAGGAGAAGATAAACAGACAATCAAATATTGATATCAAAACCGGCATGTAATAGATGTCAGCCTTCAGGAATTTCCTATCAAATTATTCCTGAAATTTCAGTATTGCAATTTAGCAGATCGCTACTCAATTCAACACAATAAAACTAGGCTCGAGAAAGTTCAATGAGAGAAATATACACAACTCCGTATTATTCTCCAGCTTCTTTTAATTCAAACAAACAGCTTGATAAGGTTGTGTTTGGTTCGTGAATTTGACAAGGAGAAGAAGATACAAGGGGAATAAAATTACTTGTATGTATTTATGTTGTAAGGGTTAAACATAAAATGGATTTCTCTTGACTAAATATTTATTCATTTCCATCTCATTTTCCTAGCACAACCAAAAATCAGAAGAAGGCGAGCTTTGTTCTTCTTTTCTTTTCATTTCGACAACTTTTACTTTGTTCTCTTCTCTTATTTTTTCTCTCCACATATCCAAGATCCAAACAAAGCATATGTAGAAGCTCGCACAGATTTTACATCTAAGTCTTACCTCTGTTGCCCTTGAAGTGGAAGGCATGGAAGCAGAATCAACAGCACAAAGCTCATCCATAGATATGCTCGTGGATGCCTCAGTACTTTTGGAATCACTAAAGCTTGCAGAGTCTAAGAATTGCTTCCGAGCAGGCTGCCTGCTACTGCTGCCAGATGTTAACACTTGTCCTTTAATATTCCTCAACTCTGCCCCCAATAAACTTTCCTGCAGTCCAAACAGTCAAGGGTGTGTAGACAAATCAAAGATCCAAACACAGCATAAGTATAAAGACATTAGAACTGTTGCTGAAGTAGATAAGAAACAGATATAGAAGGGTTTGAAATCCTATGAAAACATCTCAAACAACAAAAATAGAACAATCGGATATAGAAGAGCAAGTTTTACATGAAATCAAGTTGATCTGGTATTTCATGCAAAAATGACCATAGTTGAAAATCCTATCCAAACATCTCAAACAACAAAGATAAACAATAGAATAATCTAAAGGAAAGTACCTCAGTTCTTTGTTTCCTTTCATGGTTAGCAAAAGCAAGGGTTGTATCAAAATCTTGCTGAAAATATTTCCTGCAACCATTAAGAAAAATTTAAACAGCATAATAACAATAACATCTAATCAGGTTCAAATACACATAGTTGCAACCACTTCCATGTTTTTTCTGACATACTGTATCATTCCTGTCAGGGAATCGAATAAATGCAATGAAAAAAATATATTTTTTCAACTTCATATATCGTATGCTATTTTGGGACCCACTTTATTTCAGTTTATTCTTTCCAAAAGCAAGGTCACACTGAAACTTGCAGAAGAAATATCAATCATGGGGAATAAGTAGCAGAAGAAAGCAACAATGATTTAAGTCAAGAAAGCAATGATCTTCAATGATGGGAATAAGTTCCTCAATGAACGAGCTACAAAACTTGTTTCCTTGCTTTTTTAATTGGGTTTTTGCAACTCACTGTTGAGAATTATGATTTTGGAATTGTTGATAACGATCACATGCATCGGAGAGGGAGCCATAGTGATGCTGTCGTTGTTGATTTAGTTGATGGTGGAGTTCTGCAACTTTCTGCTTCAACCTGGCCACATCTGCTTCAGCAAGAGCAATCTCCTCAAGCTCAGCCCTTGTCTTCACATTCAAGTAAACTCATAAGAACATGTTACACAGAGCACAGGATAAGAGCCCACATCAAGAAGGAGAACAAAAAGGGGACAAAATGAACTTTGTTGTTAACAATACAGACCTTGGAATCCATACCACGAGAACTCGACATCTGTCCAGAAGACATGCTCAACCCAACCTCCAAAGCAGCACGTAGATCTCTCTCAGCTTGCAGCTGCTCTTGCAGTCTTGAAACCTATCAGAACAATCAATCATACACAAGTCAATAAAGGCATGCTAAATTTTAGAATAAAACAATATAGCCACATACAACTGTAATAAGAACATTTATTTAGCTATTGACATTTGACACCTATGCTAGATACAAAAGACCATAGAGAAAATCTAGATAATAGTGACTTCATAGAATTACACCACACATACAAACACAGAAGTATAAAGCAAGTGAAAGCGATAGAATTATATCTTATTTGCAGTAAAATATATGGACAATGAAGGTGCTCTTATATAGATGAATATTCCATGGAGTCATAGCAACTAGATGAATGTTCACAAAAGCAAGAGAACTTGCGCTCCTCTGGCTGAAATTGAAGAAACCAAATGAACCACTAAAGCAGTTACAAATTACAACTTTCAAAAGAGAGAGGAGTCTGAAAACTAAGCACAGTTAGCTAAGGGGCTGTATAAGATTCACACATTGCTTAAAATTCAAGCCCAAACATACACATTTTGAGCAAAAACATGAGGTAGAAACTAAAATTCAAATGAAAGCAAGTAAAAGGAGAAACAATTAATATGGATATTGCATATCTGAGGGATGAAGATTATACATCTTGTTCAAGTGCCAAACGACGCTCATGCAAAGCTTGCTTCCTTCTCTCCAAGCTAGCCTGTAAAATTGCATTTCCTCTAGCCTAACATAGATGGAAACCAAATTCTATTAGGGAAAATGACTATTTTCCATGACTCAGCTCAAAAAATTGTTACACTGAAAGTAAACTTTTACCTCCTTTGCAATCCTGTGCCGCAAATCATTTTTTGTAATCTCAAGCCTTTGGATAGCCATTCTGCAAACAAGTCACCAAATTTGTTTTCAAGAGATGGTTTAACAAAAGGTATCAGAGTATAGCAAACCCATAGTGTAGAAATTTAATGTATAAAGAGAAATAGAGAATTGTATTGTTGATTGATATAATGTTATTGATCTCTATTACAATGATTCATGATTCCTATATATAGAAGAGGGTGAGTGTGTAGTAGGTAAGGAGTAGGTGAAGTGGAGGTGGTAGTGGTGTAGTGGGTTAGGTTTAGTGGAGTAGGTGAGGTGGTAGTGGTGTAGTGGGTTAGGTTTAGTGGAGTAGGTTTAAGTGGGTGAAGTAGGTGGAGAGTGGGTGAAGTAGTGGGTTAGGTTTAGTGGTGTAGGTGAAGGTAAATTCTAACAGACATAGCAATAAAATCATGTTTAAAATAATTTGGTCCCCAATCCTTTTTGACAGATTGCAGCAATAAAATAAGTATGAACTAAGATTATTAATTTTCATATATCATGAAAAGAATCTAATATCTGGAAAATAGGTTTTCATGCCGCTAGACCTATTGGAAAGCCTAAACTAATGAACTTAAATTAGTGATTATTTTACTAATTTCTTCGGTTTTGCAGAAGCTAACTGACATCTGCTTCTGCACCAAGTTCAACAACCAAGGACACGATATCACGATCAACCAAAACATACCTTCCTCAAAATAGGGGAATTCCAAGAAAGAAACAGGACATATAGCATCAATTCTAGAGTAGGTACACCGGCTTACAAATAGGAAAGTTATTTCTAACATAACTATCAAGTGTATGTATAAATGACCAATCGGCAAGTTTATCATGTACCACAGAGCAATATAAAAAGGTATACTATGAACATCTTACTCTTCCTCTCCAGAAGAATCAATTGATTCCATTGAGGGTGTTTTCCTGGCCTGCAAAGTGAGAAATAATAAAGCGTCAGGTTCACAGCAATTGCCATTTTAAGATGCAAAACCAGAAAAACAGAATACATGTGGCCCATATTAATTCTACTAGATGAGTGACGTGGGCCCATGTTGGACATGCAATCCTACATTTCCCTTTTTATTTGATATAATATTTTAATTAATTGTGAAATATTCACAACAGTTGTACTTACAACTATGTAAATCTTCTGATCCAATTAAAATATCATCACCAAATTAATTAAACCTAAGATCAAAAACATAATGCAACCAATTGTGTAATGGATCACGAGATTTTTAATTGCCAAATTAAAACAGAGAGTACCAAGTCAGCAACAAAGCATATTCTTAAGAATAAAAGAAGGACCAGATGTAACATAAGATAGATAAGGAGACAGGTGAAGGGAAACGTCATAGTCCTAGAAAGGCATGTAAACCTCTTGTTCTTCCCCCTCCATGGTTCTTCTATATTGATCAACATTTATTTTTTATGTCTTTTAGTGACATGGTATCAAAGCAGGGTTGATCGGATTTTGCCCTGAATTATCCTTCCACTATCAATCAATTAATTTTTCATCACCTACTAGTTTCTCTTGTACATATCTCAAGCACACTATATATTATATGTGTTTAAGTGTGTATAACTACTTTGGCTCGCAGAAAGCTTTACCATTAAAAGAGGTATCAAAGCAGGTTGATCGGATTTTGCCCTGAATTATCCTTCCACTATCAATCAATTAATTTTTCATCACCTACTAGTTTCTCTTGTACATATCTCAAGCACACTATATATTATATGTGTTTAAGTGTGTATAACTACTTTGGCTCGCAGAAAGCTTTACCATTAAAAGAGCCACCAAGTGAGGACCATGTAAACTAAGAAAAAAGCACTTCAAAACATTCCGATAAAGAGCGGTAGGTGGGGTACCAAAAATATGGCATAATGATTAAAACTTGAAGCCAAAAAATAAATAAATAAATACAGAACAAGCAATATTATTCATGAAGAGAAATTGACTGATTTGTTGAAGAGCTCGATATGATACATATAAGGTAAGGCAGTAACAAAAAGAGTTAAAGCGTAGACTACAGTCAGTATAAGATACAAGATGCATTGGCAGCAGATAACTACTCACAGTGCTTCTACCCCAAAACGTCGACCGCTTAACATTGGGAGTGGAGTTTGTAAGTTTGTTCATTGACTTCTCAACACATGATTCAGGACCAACAGATTGAGGTAGACCTTGATCCATAGCAGATAATATTTCCCCCATTGATCGATGAGACTCGCTACCAGGTACAATACTAGGACTGTCCATCTCATTTACGCTTGGTTTCTGTTGGCCTTGTTGCTCATTTAATTGAATGTCAGACTCTCTAAGTGACTGAGAATCTACAGGAGGATTTGATTTTGCTGTTGCTGTGAGATTAATCCTGGGGGATCCAACATCTGAATCATCACCTCCAAAAGCCTAAATGAACAAAAAAACAAACATAATAATGAGGAAATAACAATGTCAGACCTGGTTAAATGTCTAAATAATAAAGAACAAATCACATTTTTTAAAGAAATAAACGAATGTTAAAAACAAATTATTACATTTTAAATAATTGTTGTTTCTATTCTTTGATCTGTGAAACTATTCAGCTAATCATTCAGCTCATATAATCTCTAAAGTGAGCACTAAATCCCTAGTCTTCCTCTTATTTAGTTTCTCAACCAAACCTGATCTTAAGGTACTGTTCTGAAGGCACTGTTCACAGCATCCCAAAGGACCCAAACAGTCCTTTCCTTCTTTAAAAACATGGATTTTGCTTCAGCTCAATTAAAGCAACCATATTTTTGGTACAAAATTCAGAAGTTCACATTCCTTTTACTCAACACTGGATATGAGGCATAATAATGTATTGGCCACACATGCAGCAATATTCAATAGAGTGAGAATGTTAATATTATGAGAACAAAGGCAAAATACTCAAAATGCAGGTGCAAAATTATAATAGTCTTTTGGCATTCCTTAATCTCAGAGATAAAATTGAAGCTATTCAGGAAAACTCATCATTGGAGATGCTAAATATGTAGAGGCACTAACTGAAGTAACAAAAACACAGAAATGAACTTATACTAATTCCAAAATTTTCCTGCTAAGATAGAAAGAAGCTAATGTAGTAGAAGATCCTACAAATCTACAGAATTATGTGATTAGTACCCTTTCCATTTGCATTTGGTTTGACATCTTTTTACCTACCAGACTTCCAAAACAAAGGTTTTAGCCATGACACTGTATACTCCACTCGTCAGTTTTTTCTGTCAATTTTTTCTATCTTTTATCGTACTGCTCTTCTACCACCAAACTAAATTATGTCATAAGCATGCTTATCATACATTTTGAAATGACTTCCATCTTTTTCTAAAAGAAAACAAAGAACATTTAGCTTTTATTTATTTATTTATTTTATCAAAAAGGAGGACATTTAGCTCTTCTATGGTTGAATTTTCACAAATCACCATGAACATACCCAAGACTACATTTCATCCACAAATGACTGAGCTTACACCTTTTCCTTTACACTTTGTTCCATGTGTTATTTTCCTATCTTACAGTTAATATTTAACTAAAAAGATAGTTGTGAATCCAAAGTTGTGAATCCAAAGATCCATGGATTTACAAAATGTTGTGTTTTGAAGACCTAAACCCTCATCGTCAAACATGACAGCTTCCAAAATCAAGATATGACTAAAGTATCCATTGAGCTCAAGGAACAAAATTTTGTTACGTTACCATCAAAATGGTTGAAATATTTCCATTTCCCAGGATCTATAGACCTTAAATATGTTTAATTATTTAATTATTGGGCTCATATGAACATTTATATTGGCTTTAGTATTATTGGGCTCATATGAACATTTATATTGGCTTTAGTATTATTGGGCTCATATGAACATTTATATTGGCTTTAGTATTATTGGGCTCATATGAACATTTATATTGGCTTTAGTATTATTGGGCTCATATGAACATTTATATTGGCTTTAGTATTATTGGGCTCATATGAACATTTATATTGGCTTTAGTATTATTGGGCTCATATGAACATTTATATTGGCTTTAGTATTATTGGGCTCATATGAACATTTATATTGGCTTTAGTATTATTGGGCTCATATGAACATTTATATTGGCTTTAGTATTATTGGGCTCATATGAACATTTATATTGGCTTTAGTATTATTGGGCTCATATGAACATTTATATTGGCTTTAGTATTATTGGGCTCATATGAACATTTATATTGGCTTTAGTATTATTGGGCTCATATGAACATTTATATTGGCTTTAGTATTATTGGGCTCATATGAACATTTATATTGGCTTTAGTATTATTGGGCTCATATGAACATTTATATTGGCTTTAGTATTATTGGGCTCATATGAACATTTATATTGGCTTTAGTATTATTGGGCTCATATGAACATTTATATTGGCTTTAGTATTATTGGGCTCATATGAACATTTATATTGGCTTTAGTATTATTGGGCTCATATGAACATTTATATTGGCTTTAGTATTATTGGGCTCATATGAACATTTATATTGGCTTTAGTATTATTGGGCTCATATGAACATTTATATTGGCTTTAGTATTATTGGGCTCATATGAACATTTATATTGGCTTTAGTATTATTGGGCTCATATGAACATTTATATTGGCTTTAGTATTATTGGGCTCATATGAACATTTATATTGGCTTTAGTATTATTGGGCTCATATGAACATTTATATTGGCTTTAGTATTATTGGGCTCATATGAACATTTATATTGGCTTTAGTTTCTATTTCCAAATAATTCCATATATTCCCTTTTTTATTTTTTCCTTGTGTTAAAACATTTCTGAAACATTTCAGTTTCCAAGCGAACTTAAACAGCATATCGAAACAAAATTTTGATATAAGAGAATGCATTAGGAAAGGGGATAATCAACTACGTTCAAGATAAACTAAAACAAAGACTCTTAATCATTACCTCTTATCAACAAGGTCAGTTTTGTTCCCAACAATGACAATTATAACGTCACTGCCCCGTTCAGTGCGAACCTGCTCAATCCATTTTGTGGTGTTCAGGATTGATTGCCTTCCTACACCCCCCAAAACAAATTATCACAAGTGTATCATAGAAGGCATTAAGTCAGAAGAGCAAGCAAGATGCTTAGAAAATAAATTTGAATTTTTATTTTATTTTAAATAAGCTGCATCTGTTCAGGTGGCTGTAACCTATAACACACCATTTTTCAGTCACAACTAATCACAACTTATCTCTTTGTGGGAGCTTTTAAATCTAAAAACCATTTTAGTTAATGTACAAGTTCCATTTACAGTTTCATAGTTTACATTAACATTAACACTAATTAAAAAATTATTATTATTTATTAAATGAAAAAATTAAGATATAAGTCATTTATTAAATGAAATGATAAACAGATTGAATAATATGGCTACCTTATTCCTAGAAAGCTTCAACATAGAAGTTCTGGCAGCTTAGGGCAGCAAAAATACAACATCAGACCACTCTCTTTATAAGAAGATTGGTGGATCATATAATTCTATCCCTAGAAAGCTTCGACATATAAGTTCTGGCAGCTAAGTGCAGAAAAATACAAGAAGATGCAGATCCAATAATTCTATTTCAAATGATGCTCAAAAAGAGATGCCATCTCGATCTACAACATACCTATTCATTTTCTTTTGAAACTTGTTGCCCACTAGATGCATCGGACACCTACAATATGTTAGTATAATGTGTTAATAATTTCCATATGTATATATACAAATTGATAAAACGTAAAATTCGTTAATTTGTAAGTATTGCACCTCTCTCAAGCTCATACTCCCAGCCACACCCTGTGACTCTAAGAACAAAACACGTGTCGTTAGGTTCTTGATCGTCGTAGTGAACCTAGACTCAACGTCATCAATAAAAAGAATGAGCAAAGGTATAAACAAATATATGAACCCCATTTTTAGCCTTGTCATCTAGATTAAATAAATATATGCGAAAAAAGTCCAGGTATTAACATAAAAAAAATTGCACAAATATTGGTGTAAGTTAATTTTAAGCAACAAACAAAATCTTGGGAGTAAGATTTAAGGCCATCCCTTCAAACATCCACTCATTCAGATATATGTCATAAAAATCAAGGGAAACATTTGTCTTCATGTCTTTCCAATGGGAAATTGAATATCTCTTCATCGAAAGTTGTAAATTGTAGCACAGATCTGAGAACTGGCATATCAAGTTATTAACCTACAACTAATGACAATTATAATGGTGTTCTTGCAGCATATAGAATCTGTTGAGGAACAACAACATCATGAAGTGCCAAATTATAGTAGAGACACAACTATTGAAGGTTAGTAAGCCCAAGCTTGACTGTTCTACTTCCTATCTGCTTGTGTAGTATCATACTGGTCAATTGCATTCAGAAGAAGGTAAATGAGAAACATTTTGTGCAAAAGTAAATTGAGTGTATATCAACTGAAACTTCAATTGCTTTGATCTGTGAAAGTATGATATGCATGACTAACAGAAAATGGAGTGAGTTTGTATAAGACAAGCTATAGAGTGCCATGATAAAGAAAATCTGCAACCCAATGCTTGGGCATCGAACAGAAGAATACTACAAGATTAGCATGTATAATCTAACGCCAAAAATGCTATCTACTCCAAAAATTGCCTCAAATTTGACATGTACAGTATAGATTTGAAGTTGTTGTGGGGGCAGAAACAAATGAATCTTGTTTTCAGATTGTAAATTCTGGGTATTTTTCTAGGCAAATTTGATAGGTACGTAACATTGCTGTATCCAACGGCTTGAGTAAAAAACTCTAGTAAAAAATGACATCAAAATACTACATTCTTTTAAAAACAATCACATATTCTAAAATGACTTTATTATTTAGATTCATCGCAAGAGATCCGTGACAGAGCATTATAATCAGTAGCTTGTTTTAATACATAACAAGAGCATGTTGATCTATCATGTTGCTAACTAGTTTGGTACCTTGAAAAACTATACACACAAAAAGAACATAATGGCTATGCATCAGTTGAGAGCTAGACAGTAGATAGGTCACAAATTCAATTTTGTTATTTGATTCATTAGCATCAGCATGCTCTGGCTTCAGTAATAAACCAGCCCATTACTTGAGCTAGTTTGGTGTGATCAGCAAGATTTTAATTAGCAGTATTGGGAGGTGAATTCGTATAGGTGGCAGTGTAGTGATATGGGAAGTATGAAAAATCAATTGACAGAGTCTTGAATTTTTTGTTAGTCATGCATATCATAAACCAGCCCAAGGAGGCCTCTGTTGAAGAGTTGATTCAAAAGCGACATTTAAGCCTCAACCAAGACGATCGATAAAGCTTTGATTGATTGTTGATAGCAGATTGATCGATCAATCTCATAAAGCTAATGTGGGTTTTTCTTCTAGTTACAGATGCAAAGAGGCAGGTATGAGTAGCAGTAGGCAGATCTGTATGGGAAAAACAGATGAAGAAAAAAAAAAGATCATATATATATATATATATGTAACAGATCAAAAACCCCCCTATATACACTCACAGATGTATATATATATATATATATGTGTGTGTGTGTGTGTGTGTGTGTGTGTATGAAAACCCCCTATATCCGAAATCCCGACACAGAGAGAGAGAGAGAGAGATACCCTTTGAAATCGGCGGTGAGGGAAGATCGCCGGTGAGGGAGGAGTGGCGGTGAGGGGCGAGCAACCGTCAACGTCGTTTGTGAGAGAGAGAGAGAGGGAGGCAGCAGCGGCGGTAAGGGAGGAGGATCGACAGTGAGGTACGAGCGACGGTGAGGGAGGATCGGGAGTGAGGGAGGATCGGCGGTGACGGATGATCGGCGCCGTCGTTGTGTGAAAGAGAGAGAGAGGAAGGCGAAACCCTAGATGGAGAGAGAGAGAGAGAG